TTTCCCCTCTCTGTGCCTCAGTTTCCACATCGGTAAGAGGGGAAAATTGAACTCAGTGATCCCTCAGGCCCAGTGTATCCTTGAAGTTGCAGCCTGAGGTGGGAAATGCAGGTCGTAGGAATACAGACAAAGCCTTATGCGACTCCGACTGTGTGCATGCATGATTTTACTTGATTCTCACAACTGCTTTATGAAGTATCATTATTGGCCTCATTTAACCAAACAGGCTCAGAGAGGTTAAGTAACATGTCCAAAGTCACCCAGCAAATATCAGAGCTGAATTTGAATCCAAGACTCTCAGAACCTAAAGCTGGGCCCCCAACCCTTGCTCATGTCGTCTCTGGTCACCAGGAAAGTGAGGCCTGAGTCTGGCTAATTAGGGGAAGGAAGCTCGGGCAGAACTAATTACACTCGATTTTATTCTTGTCTTTTTGCAACATGATTAGTGCTGCACAGGGGTGCCGGGCTCCTGGCCCCCAGCCTGCTGACCTAATTTGTGTGCTTGTGTCTGTTTCTGTAACTTGCCCTTTCTCCCCCCTCATCCAACCTCTCTCTTTTTGTTTCTCTCTGCACTCTCCCCTGCTGTGTGGCCTTGGCAGTGCCACTTAACCTCTCTGGGCATTAATTGTCTCATCTGCCTGGGTGTAGTCATCCCAATTCGGCTTCCCTCGTGAGGAGGTAGAGGCTTACATGAGGTAAAGACTTGGAAATAATAATAGAAATTTTAACATAAGCTAACAGTAATCGTGGCTACGTTGATTTATTCATTTTTCACTTGGTGTTCGGTCCTGTGTTCAGCCCCTTCCCACAGCAACGCTATGAGCTGCATAGTCTTATCATCATCTCCATTTTACAGTCGAGAAAACTGAGGTGCCGAGATTAAATGGCTTGCCTGACAGCCAGCCGGGTAGTAAAGAGGAGCTGGTTCATTATGCTTTGCCTCTGTGCTGACCTGTTTCTCTAGGAAGGCTCATGGTGGTGTGGGGGCTGGGCACAAGAGACCCCAAACTCTGGGGTGGGCTCTGAGGGAGGATGGGGTGGGAGGGATGCACGGGCCTTCCTGAACATGTCCCCTGCACTCAGAGTGAGTGATGAGTGGGAGGGCAGAGGTAGCCTTGGAAGTGAGGAGACTTAGCTGATATCCAGCTCATTTGGACCCTCACCCATCACAGCCCTGACGGGGTGTTCCTGGGAGGGAGGGGGCTGGGCAACCTGGGAGGTGACACCTCCTTGCCGCTGGCCCAGGGGAGCCTCCCCAGCTGCTGCTTTAAAACTCTAGGAGAGGATCGGTGGGAGTAGATGTGGAGTGAGGGGGCCCGTGGGTCACTGCTGGTCCTGGTCCCTTCTGGGTTGGGAGCCTGAGGTGCCTCTGTGGAGTGAGGCTGTGGGTGAGTTCAGGAGGGTGTGATGACTAGGGGACTGTGAGGAAAAATGGAAGGCGGGGGGCGTCAGTCCGTTAGGAAGGGTGCCACGTTTCATCCCTATGTGTGTGTGCACCTGTGTGTACCCGGAAGGAAAGTGCGTGTTTGAGCGCATGTGTGAGGGGAGGGAACTGGGATGCAGGTGTTGTGGGTCTGTTAATGGCATGTGATGTGGGTGTATGTCTGCTGGGGCAGGTTCAGGGAGGGACAAGTAGACTGCACGCGTGTGGAGCAGGGTGTTGGGAGCACTCGGCGTGTTGGGTCCTGTGCTCAGCCCCTTCTCCTGCAATGCTATGAGCTGCATAGTCTCATCACCATTGTGTGCTGGTTCGTGGGTGTGGATGTTTAGTGGGTGTGGACGGCTGTGGGTGTTGCTGAGTTGATATCATGCAGGGGGTGAGGGGCAGCTGCGGGGCACAGATGTATGGATTCAGCCCTGGACGAGCAATGGGTCGGGGGTGGCCCAGGAATGTCCAGGACAAGGGTTTCAGAGACAGAGGCCTCATGCCTGAATTCTAACCCCTGCCTCAGTTCCTGCATCTGTGCAATGGGGATGATAAAACCCTGGGCGGTTGTGGTGGTTAAAGGAGGCCGCATAAGTAACGTGCTCCCAGCACCTGACCTGGGGCAGGCCCTCGGCAGCAGCAGGCAGAGGTCCCTAGAGTGCCCTGGGAACGTTCAGCGGCTCCCCTGGGACCCGATGCTCAGGAGTTCATGGGCTGCTCAGGGAGCCTCCGCCGGGTGTCCCTTCCTGAGATTGGTGGTGGCCGGAAGCAGCAGGTTCCATGTTTCTGCCGGGCATGCTCGCTGTGTGTGGGGGGTGCAGCCGAGAGGAAAGGTTGTATCTGAGTTGTGAGGTTCATGTCTGAGTCAGAGGATGCACCTGCCGGAGGTGATGTCTAGGAGCGATGTGTGTTTAGGGAACAGGCGTGGCCGTGGCAGTGGCTCTGTGCTGTGGGCCTTGGTGAGGTGAGTGTGGTGCGTGGGGTCAGGAGAATGTGCTGAGGTTTGTCGGGGGCATCGGTGGGGTATGTGGTGAGGAGAGGAGTGTGTGTGTGGCTGTGAGTACCCTAGGGCAGGTGTACATGCAGCTAGGGGTGAAGTAGATGGGTGAGTGTGTGCTGGTGTGGGCTGGGCTATATTACCTATAGGCTGTGGTGAGTATACAGATTGGGGTGGGCAGACATTGCACTTAATTGTGTGTGTGTGTGTATCCGCTGGGGTGCATGGTACATGCATGAGAATGTACATGCATGAGGATGTTGGGCTGTTTTGTGTGTGTGTGTTTCTGCGAGTGCGCGTGTGTGTTGGGGGTACGGAGGCTTCCTATCAGGCATGGGGGGGTTATGTTTACCTGGAGGGGGCACAGTGAGGGTCAAGGAGAAGCTGGCAGCGTCCTGGGGCTTTTGGATTCAGTTCTCCTTTAAGGGAATGGCATGGATAATTATGCTCATTATGATGGATTATGCAAATGCAGAGGTCGTTTGGGGGTCAAAGGCTGCTTGTCACCCTCCTCCTCAGGCATTCTGTGACTCTTAAGGCTTTCCCTGCTGCCTCTCAGGCTCCGTTCCCCACCCCTCGTTCCTCTGTCCCCTCTAGGAGTTGCAGCTACTAGCACCCCTTCTGTAGCGTTCCTGTGAAGGCCTCACTGAGTCCCAGCGCCCATGCCTGCAGGTCCCAGGTGTCCTTGCATTAAGTTCCTGCTGAACATCCTAGGTGGGCTCAGGGGTGACCAGGCCATTCCTCCCCCTGCCATCCCGCCGTGGGGGTGCTTGCTGTTCGGAAAGAATGTGTTCTTGGAAGCAGGTTTGGAAAATTACTGAGGTGGCCCCTTCCCCAGCCTTGCCTCATCCGCATGAGGCTAAATTAGGATGTGTGAGTTCTCCCCCTCTGCCTCCCATCCTTGCCTTCTCTCCCTCTCTGTCATACCCCCCAGCCCACCCTCCCCGTCTCTGCCCCTGTGCCCCCTGGCCTCCCTCTGTCCTCGCCTCTCTGTCCCCGTCTCTCCACCTCCCCGCTCCCTGTCATCCTCTCCATTCCCCTGTGATCTGTCCCTCTCCTGCACCCCCCCATCTCTGTGGGGAGCTGCAGCTCCTGGTCCTTAGCATGGAGAAGATGGTCGTCATGGTAACGGTTGTCATGTCGATGGCTACTGAGCTGGGGATGAATAGTATCTAGGTGAGTGCTACCTGAGTAGAGGCTGATGGGTTTCCAGGAGGCTCGATGCTTGTCTCTGAGCTCAGAGCTGCACGGCAGACCCAGCTCCTCCTGCCCCATGCTAGTGGCTGTTTGTACCCACTCGGTGGTGACACGCCGAGCCCTATGTGGCTGCTCTTAGGTGAGCATATGTCAGTGTGTGTCTGTGCATGTGCTGTGTCTCTGGGGTGTGTCATTTCAAGGGTCTGCGTGGCTTGGAGGTAGGTCTTTGGGTTTGTACAGGCTTTTCTTGAAGCAGGAGTTTAGGGGCTAAGTGGCACTGGTCACTGAGGAATTTTGGGGACTCTCTTGTTTTGATACCCACATTTACCTCAGTTGGGGGCTTCCAGGGACCACAGACCTCTTAGTATCCCTCCTCTCAGCTAAAGGCCTCCAAGCCACTGCCCAGCCTGCTGGGAAGGATAGAAAGACAGTGAAGACAGCCCTGGGCAGGGGCAGGGGCAGGAGCCGGAGCCTGGGTCCCTGCTCAGTCCCCATTCTTCTGTGTGACTTCAGGCTGCTTACCAGAGAGCTGGAGGGAGCAGGGACTCTGGGTTGGCTGGTTCCGGTTGTGGAGGGAAGTGGTATGGGGAGCTCTGGCTCCTCCACCGTGGGTGTTTGTCTTTCTGGGCAGAGGGGAGCTGGGGAAAAGTTGGGCCTTACTGCTCTGAGCTCCTGGAATGTCTAAAAAGGAGGAAGACCCAGCAATTCATCACAGGAGCAATTACACTAATTGTTCCACTCCATGACTCACTGGTAGAAAGTAAATACTGATTAATTCATTACTTTGAGACTGTGTGTGTGTGTGCATTTGGTGAGGGGCACCTCCTGGCTCCCTGCCCTGGCTGGGCTGGGCAGGGCTCTGGAGCAGGTGGTTGAGGCTGGGGATATGAAGACAGGACTGAGATCCTCACTCTGGCTTTGTATCAACTCCAGAAGGGGGCCCATCAGTGGCAGGGGGTGAGAGGCTGGGCCCCAAATGCAGGGCCAGTCCAGCCCTCCCCTGCTCACACACAGCCTAGGGCTCCCCACAGTCAGTCCAACATTGCAGCTGCTCAGAGACCACCTCAGACCTACTGAATCACTGAATTTAGTTTTCACAATATTCAGATGTGCAGTCAAGATGAAAAATGACCAGTTTCTAAGAGAAAGTCATCAACCAGACACTGAAAGCCTTCTGGGATGGGGCCCCAGGTGACCTGCCCCGCCCTACCCCTGCCCTGTGAATTATTCACACGCACGCACTTTCCTTCCAGGTGCACACAAGATCTCTGTCACCCATATGGATGTCACTTGGCCCACAAGGGCACCTGTTGCCCTTCTGGGCACACCCAGCTGCGAGTCTCAGGTGCTGAGCCCTGTGTCCGCCTCTACCTTCCCCAGGCCCAGCGCTGGCGCAGCGAGAACTTTGAGAGGCCCGTGGACCTGGAGGGCTCTGGGGACGATGACTCCTTTCCTGATGATGAACTGGATGACCTCTACTCAGGGTCGGGCTCGGGCTGTAAGTACCCCCTTCCCTACCCCTGCCTGGTGGCAGTGACCTGTCTGTATCCAGCCCCTTCTCTGAGCAGCCCATGGGGGTTTGCTTCAGTGAGGCAGGGGGCGTTTACTGTATGGGTCAGACAAGTTCTTGGGCAGGATCCCCAGAACAAGAAGGGCAGAACACCCTCCTGGGGATGGAACCAGGCCTGGGAGGACCTCAGAACCCAGGATGCCCAGCTCTCCAGGGTCCCCCATCTGCATCTCTGTGTGTGCTATGTGGCTCTCTCTGCAGACCTTGCTTGGTTTGGGTGGTCCCATCAGGTCCAATAAGCTGTGGCCAGTGGTGGGGTTAGGGCTGTGACGAGACAGGGCAGGTGCTTCAAGTGGTGCCTGGTTTGGCTCCGCCCTGGGGAAGGGGAGCCAGGCCAGGTGGGTCTAGCAGAGTCTCGGGAGAGAAGGACGCTGGGAGCCCCACTCTGCCACATAGCAACTGTGTGCCCCTCGGTGCTCCCCCTCCCTGAGTCCCTGTGTTCTCACCTGCGGATGGTGAGAAATACGCTTTCCTCTCAGTGCCTCTAGGAGGGTTTGGGATAGGAGGTTGGGGTCTGGCACAGAGGAGGAGCTCTCAAAACCGTAGCAAAAAGACGGTGGCTGAGACTGGGCCCAGTGAGGTCCTGGGCTGGCATCTGAGGAGATGGTACGGGTCTGCACGCCACAGAGTTGGCTCCCCACAGCCCTCGCCTCTGGTCTCCCCTCCTTAGCCCAGTCCTTTGAGCCCCTTTCAAATTATTCTTTGTAAAACCTATTTCTGTTGGGTCACATCTCTACTCGCAAAGCTCCCTGGCTCCCCTCCCTCCTGCCTGGTTCCAAGCCCAGGAGCTGGCTGTGGCTTCTCCCTCCCCCTTCGCCTGTCTCATTTCCTCCCAAGTTCCTTCACTGTCCGGGCTTTGCATCAACCAGGTTGCTCAAGCAGTTCCCCTGCTGCAAGGGCTTCTTCTCCCTCTTACCCTCTGCCTGTGCCTCTGGGGGGAAGCCCCTAGTGTACCACCCTGCCTTGGCCATGTGGTAGGGGTGCCTTTGGGGACTGACTCTTCCCAGAATGCCACTCCTGTGTTCCCCTGCAAGCCCCAGCAAGTTTTGCAACCAGAAGCACCTCAGTTGCTGCTGCCTGGTTTAAACCTCATAGAAGCTGTAGGTCGGGTGGGCAGGAATAGTCAAGGAAGGCTTCCTGGGAGAGGCGGCCCCCAGAATTTTTGACTTGGCAGAGAGAAGTTGGGGAACATCAGCAACTGGCCACCTCTGGCCAGGCTGTGCCTTCCTCCTTTCTCTCATCTTTTCTGGGAAAATTGGGCGAAGAGAGGGGGTTGGGAGACCTAATCTTGATGGCCATTGCTTACCTGGGATCCTCATGCCCCTCACAACCACCCAGCTCCCTAGCTCTCTCCCTCTCCCCCACCCCCTCAGACTTCGAGCAGGAGTCGGGCATTGAGACAGCCATGCGCTTCAGCCCAGATGTGGCCCTGGCAGTGTCCACCACCCCTGCGGTGCTGCCCACCACGAACATCCAGCCTGTGGGCACACCATTTGAAGAGCTCCCCACTGAGCGCCCCACCCCAGAGCCAGCCACCAGCCCCCTGGTGGTGACAGAAGTCCCGGAAGAGCCCAGCCAGAGAGCCACCACCATCTCCACTACCACGGCTACCACTGCTGGCACAACAACGGGGGCCCCGACTGTGGCCACAGTGCCTGCCACAGTGGCCACCGCCACCCCCAGCACCCCTGCAGCACCCCCTTTTACGGCCACCACTGCTGTTGTAAGGACCACCGGCGTACGGAGGCTTCTGCCTCTTCCACTGACCACGGTAGCCACGGCACGGGCCACTACCCCCGAGGCGCCCTCACCCCCGACCACGGCAGCTGTCTTGGACACTGAGGCCCCAACACCCAGGCTGGTCAGCACAGCTACCTCCCGGCCAAGAGCCCTTCCCAGGCCGGCCACCACCCAGGAGCCTGACATCCCTGAGAGGAGCACCCTGCCCCTGGGGACCACTGCCCCTGGACCCACAGAGGTGGCTCAGGTGAGGGTGTTGAGAAGGGACAGGGAGGAGGGCAGAGGAGGGTGGGTCAGGGGAGGGATGAGGAGGATGGACCTGGACAGGACTGAGGACCAGGAGGCTATAGAGATGAGCCAGACAAAGTGGGGGCAAGGGGCAGGACCAAGGGACAGAGATCAGATGGGGAGGGAAGAGGGACAGAAAACGAGGGCTGGGGTGGTTGGATCCTAATGGGATGGGGCATTGGTGGGGAAGGAATTGGGTGAACATGTGCATTGGTGACAAGGCAGGCCAGGCTGAGCATTAACTCGGCAGTCTGGTAGCTGGATCAGAATCCTTCTGCTGCCACTTCCTCGTCATGGGACCTCAGGCCAGTCCCTGATCCTTTCTATACCTCCTATTCCTCATCTACGGAAAGGAGAAAACAATAGAATGTGTATCATTTCATTGTGAGCACGAAGTCTCCTGACACCCACAGTGCTTAGAACAGCGCATGGTGATGGTGCAGCCAGTAGGTTCTCAGCCGCTGTCCTCATCACGGTTGTTAATACCATGGGTCTGAGGGTGGTTAAGAGCCGGCTGTATGAGAATGCATCACTTGCCTTGTGGAGGGCTGCCTGGGTGTGGCTCAGTGCTCAGCACTTTACCTGTGTTAGCCCCAGCCCTCATGCCCACCCCACGGGCAACACTGTGATCATCTCACTTTACAGACGAGCAACTGCTGGCGCACAGGGAGGTGAAGCCACTTCCCAAGGCTCTGCAGCCAGCAGTGGCAGTCAGGATTTGAACCCAGGCAGCTGGCGCCAGAGCCGGGCAGTCTCGCAGGGCCAGGGCTGCATGTGTGTGCATTTGGGATATTCTGGATGGGGCAGGGGAATTGACGGGAAGAGGATGAAGATGTCAGGAATGCCAGGGATGGATGAATCCCAAGGACATGAGAGAGGTGGTCTGGTCCCTGCCGGGTGCACTGAGTAAGATGGAGAGGGGGGAACATGGACTGGGTGCCAGGGCCCTCTGCAGCTGGCCTCACTGAGGAGGGCCCTTGGGCCGTGGAGCTGCCTTGGGGCCAGTGTCTGTCCCTCTGACTCCCCAGCCAGCTGCAGCAGGGTGCAGGCCCTTCCTTCGCCTCCTCAAGCAGCTGGGGCAGCCTGGTGTTTTCACATAGACTTGGCCAAGCAGCAAGGGGAAACAATGACGGGGTACGGAACCCAGGAGAAGGTGCACAGAGCCCAGGTTGCTGGAGGAGCCACTGTGCACACTGTGTACACTGGGGCACTGCTGCAGCATCTCTTCAGCCTGGACACCAGGCTCACCTTTCCATGCCCACCTTTGAAGGAGCGACATCCCTGCTCCAAATGGCTCCCACAGCCCCCACTTTGGTTTCATGATTCCCAGCTCTGATCCTGCCTCTGAGTGGTGGGAGTCCTAGAGATTGTCAGTCACTGAGCTGGTTTCCAGGACACCTGCCCCTGAGGCCATCATGCTCTGCAGGTTTTGCTCTTGGACTGGCCTCCAGGCTACAGGATGCTCCCCTGCCTTAGGCATGGACCCGGACCAGGCCCACATCCATAGCAGCTGCACCCAGCAGTTCCCAAACATCCTCTCGGCAGGAATCCCCCGAGGATTGTTACTAAGACCGCTGGAGGGGACAGGATGGGGATAGGATGTGGCCAGAGCAAGAACAGAGGCAGTGTGGTAGTGGTTAGAAACACAGACTCTGGAGGCAGATAGATCTGGATTTTAGTTCTGTCCCCCACTTACTAGTTGTGTGTCCTTGGGCAGGTCATTTACGCTCTGAGCTGACTTCCTGCTGTGTAAACTGGGGACATTATTACACTCCTTCGTGGGGATAGTGAGTAGCACAGCGCCTGGTGTGTAGGGAGTGCTAAGTGTTAGCCCCCAGGGCAGTAGGATGGTGGTGGGGGGTTATGCATGCATGTGTGGTTGTCCTGGGCTCATGCCACCCTCTCTGCAGACCCCAACTCCAGAGACCTTCCTGACCACAATCCGGGATGAGCCAGAGGTGCCGGTGAGTGGGGGGCCCAGCGGAGACTTTGAGCTGCCAGAAGAAGAGACCACACAACCAGACACAGCCAATGAGGTGGTAGCTGTGGGAGGGGCTGCGGCCAAGCCATCATCTCCACCTGGGACACTGCCCAAGGGTGCCCGCCCGGGCCCTGGCCTCCTGGACAATGCCATCGACTCGGGCAGCTCAGCTGCTCAGCTGCCTCAGAAGAGTATCCTGGAGCGGAAGGAGGTGCTCGTAGGTGAGGATTGGGGTCTGGGCCAAGGGGAGCCTGGGGGGATCCCAGAGTGAGGCACCTGGCTGGGCCTCAGTTTGCCTCTAGGAACCCAGAAAGAAGATCAGGGCGTGGTTTCCTAGGAGCCAGACAGGAAGGAAACCTGAGAACTCAACCCCCCAGGTCCTGCCTTCTGGCTCCTCCCGACTTTTCTCCTTCCCAATATCCAACCCTGACTTCATGTCCATCTCTAGGTCTTTCCTCAGTGCCCTCTGACCCCTTCGTGGACTCTGACTTTGATCCCTGCTTTCCTGGGCCACACTGGCTGACCCTCTGGGACCTCACTTCCTAGATGCTAACCTCTGACCCATTCTTCAGCTTGACCTTCCCCAATTTTTGACCCCAGTCCCTGTGGACCTGCCCTGGCTGCATCTAGGGAGTCTCTGGACTCCTGGTTCAAATTCTGGCTTTGCACTCAAGGCAAGGTACTTCACCTCTCCAGCCTTCCTTCTCTTCATCGGTAGAATGGGGATAGTCATTTTGCCCTTAATCAATTCTAAGAGGTACATTCTGTTCACATGTTAACTCTTCTGTAATTGGGGTATGTCATATTTAGTTAGCAGAGTTTTTCCTTTCCTAGCAGTTATAAAATACTGGGGCATCTTATGACTGATGGCATTTTAAATTTGATGAAGCCCTCAGATAACCTGTCCCTCATAGGGCTGGTGTGAGGGTTCAGTGAGTTAGTGTGTTGGGCAATTAGAATGCAGCCAGTGAAGGCCTATAGTGGTACCCAGTGCTGGTAGTAGTAGTATTGTCTCCATCTTCACTCCAACTCAGATCCAGGACTCCCAGCCCACTCCATACCCTGGCCCCCACCCCTGAGGACCCTTTGCCCTGGTTCTACCCGGCCTCTGGGCCTTGACCTCTGCCCTCTTCCTCCACAGCTGTGATTGTGGGCGGGGTGGTGGGCGCCCTCTTTGCCGCCTTCTTGGTCACACTGCTCATCTATCGCATGAAGAAAAAGGATGAGGGCAGCTACACGCTGGAGGAACCCAAGCAGGCGAGCGTCACATACCAGAAGCCTGACAAGCAGGAGGAGTTCTATGCCTAGTGGAGCCACAGTGCCTCCCTGCAGCCTCAACACCACCCTGCCGTCCAGTCCCCAGCCTGGCCTCACCAGCCCAAGCCAGGGACTGGGCCTGGAACCTGGCCCCAGTTCTTCTCTGCCCTCCCTCCCAAGGTCTGCCCAGGCTGCCGGCCTCACACAGATCTTCCCCGAGGAAGAGGGGCTACTGCCATCTGCCCCAGACTGTGCCCTTATGAGCTCATCTCTTGTTCCCCTCATCCCTGCCACCAGTCTGGGGCTTTAGGACCTCATGTCAGATGGATGAGAGGAAGAAAGCTCCTGATTGGCTGGTGGTGGAAGAAAGGGTGGGGCTTGAGATAGGCCTGAGCCCCAACTTGGCACCCACAGGGCTCACTGAGATCTCCTTTTTGGGGCAGAGAGGCACTCAGACTGATTTCCAGGATAAACATTTGGTAAACACAGCCCTTGAAATCATCTAGACACTCACTGCAACCTCTTGCTCCTATCCCAGGGCCTCTCTCTGCCTGGGTGAGAGGGTATCCCTTGTCACCAGCCTGTTTTGTCCTGGTCTCTCTGGGGTTGTTGAATCTCTCCTCTTGCCTGCCAAGTACACATGTACCCCAGACTTCATTTCTTTCTGCATCTTCCTCCAAGAAACAGCTTCCTGAGGGTGCTGGGGCAGCCACTGGTGAGGAGGGGCTGCTCTGATGTCCCTCCTATGAGGGGACTCTGCACAGACACCATTGCCCACACTGTCACACATATTTTCATGCAGTCACACACAAGACAAAAGCATGCAATGACAAAACCATACGCAATCCTGACTGCCCAGCCAATCAAGACATATCACAGAACACACACATCCTTCCAAGAATGTTTATCCTCATGCATCACGTACACACCCCCAGACACTGCAATGCAAGTCACTAGTCATGGTCACATGATAGTGACAGTGTGGCCTCCTCCCACCCCCAGTACACCCACCCTCTGGCACCACACACATTGTCTCCAGCTTTCAGGCTCACTGGGGAGGGTGGAATCGAGCCGGAACAATCAGCCCATATTGGGTCCCCCTAAGTTGCCCCGTCATACTCAGTCCCATGCCATGGTGCCCACACCAACCATGCAGCCACCAACCCCAGCCAGTGTCAGACACAATTCCATGTGGATGCACAGTCTCACTCCACATGACCTGCTCTCAATGCTGGAGGGAAACAGGCAGGCCCTTGCCTTTCTTGGAAAAAGTGTGGGGCCACAGCCCTTTCAGGGCATTGCACACAGGTGGGCCTGGCCTCACTCCTACCTTCTTCCTCCCCACTGCAGTTGGCAAAGGGGGAGGTTTGGGGCCAGACCCCCACTGGCTGGCAGCCTGGGGGCTCCTCTAAGGCTGAGGAAGGAAATTTGGCCCCAGCTTGTTGGGGGGTCTTGGGTCTCCCAGGACAGAAGGCCCAGGGCAGGGAGGGGGCATGTGGTTGGGCCCCTTTCTCTCCCTGTGTCCCCTTCCTGCTCTGAGCTAGGGGGCTGACTCTGCCTCCCAGGACACAAGTCTCCAAAGTGCCTGTGAGGGCGGGCCCTCCGCACCCTCTGCCCTCTGCCTGGCCAGGCCAACCTCAGCCCACCTGCCCAGAGGCCCTCCCTGTGGGCACCCCCTCACCTATTTGGCCAGACAGTTCTGGCTGCAGCTTCAGGGGCCATGGCTGGAAGCAGCCCCTGCAAATCCCTCAGGCCCTGAGGTCAGGGTTTGAGGGATGAGAGCAGGTGATAGTGGGGGAGGGATTACTTCCTTTGTTACCTAGCAAGTAGGGCTATTTCCATCGGTATTTTAAATGTGGGGTCACAGATCTTTGGGGGAGGGCGTGCTTGGCAGGGGGCCTCTTGGAGCCAAAGGGATGTGGTGTGAGTTGTGAATGGCTGGCACTCACGCTCCCACCCCTCACCCACAGCCCAGATTCAAGTCAGGAAGGCAGGTTTTATTTCAGGGCCCTTTGCAAGATGCCCTGGCAGCAGATTTCTGCAGGATGAGGGGTAGCAGTGTGTAGGCAGTGAGGGTGAGGTTCCGGGGGCTGTCCCACAGCCTGTCTTTTCCAGGCTGGGCTCCATCTTCCAGTCCCAAAACCCTCCTTCACAGGGCCCAGAGGCTTGTGAGGAAGCCAGGTGGACCCAGCCTTAGAAGAGTGGGCATGGGGGGCCCCCAATATCTGGAGGGGGTAGGTTGGCCTCAGTCATTTTTGGAGCAGAAGGGCTGGGTCCTGGGGCCAGAGCCCACAAGGCTCAGCCTCCCTACCCTGCTCCCTGGGGTGCTGCTGTCTTGGAGACCACAGCTCTGGTGAGACGGCCTGGGCAGGCCAAGGCTGAGAAACCAGGGAGGAGAGAGGAGAAAAGGGCTTGGGCCACCAGCCCCAGAAGGCGCCGGACCTTGGGTGGGAGACCCACCAGTTGGTGTAGGTTCTCTGTAGGGCTGGAGCCCATGGTGGGGGTGGCCCCAACAGACCTGGCTCCTCACATCCCAGAGGTTGGCTTCTGATTTGCGGCTTGGGCTCCTGGCACTGGCTTCTCTTCTCTGTGTCCTTAGCATTTGAGAGAAGAGGCCAGGGGCCTTGTTCATGGAGCCCTGGACCCAAGGCAGATGTCCAGGCTTTATCCTCGTGAGGTTAAAGAGTCTGACCAGCCCAAATCTGCCCTGGCCAGCCTGACCAGGGCAAGGCAGTACGAGAGTTCAGTGAGGACTAGCTAGGGTTCTCCAAGGTGCAATGCAGATGCAGGGCCCTCATGTGCCCCTACCCCTGCCTGTGATGGGGTGTTCTGAGGGGCTTTGGCATTTGCTGGAAGCACAGCGAGTTCCAAATGAGAGGGAGCTTGTGTGGCTTGAGAGCCTTTGGGGCCTTGGCTGCCAGAGCATGAGGCAGGCCAGGACGTGGAGAGCCCAGGCCCTGTCTCCAGGGGGCCAGATGGGGCCTTGCCTGAAAGGCTGGTCCCCTTGATTGCTGGAGGTGTGTGGGTGGCAACCAGGGCTGGGCAGGGCTTAGGGTGTGTGGACCAAACCCCCCTAGGGTTGGCAAAGCTGCCTGTCAGGCCTCCAGGTGGGGGCCCTTGGACGCAGCGAGCAGACCCTCTGCCTTGCAGGGCAGGAATGGCTGCCTCCTGGGTTCTCTGGATTTCTTCTCCCAACAACTACAACCCTGGACTTGCCTCCCCAGGCCTCTTGCCTGTAAATAGAAGCCCGCAAACTGTACAGATTTAGAGGCATCGAGACTGGGCCCCGGGAGTCGCCATCTGAGAGCCGATGGCCCCAGCATCCCCCAGGTGCCTGCCTGGCACCACAGTGACCCTGGCCTCAGCGTGGCACATGCATGTAAATATTTTTCGTAGGCGGCGTGGCTCCAGAGAGCCCCCTGAAGACAGTGTCCCTCCCTCTGGTGAGTCCTTTCTCCTGTACAGAACTGGCCGGGGGTGGGTGGGGGTCTGCCGTTCCCTCCCCCAGGCCTTCCCTGCCCCTTCTCTGCCCTGTAACCTGTTTATTAACTGTACCTGTCCTGAGTTCATGGCCAAAACCTTAAATAAGGAAAAAGACAGTGGAAAAAAGAGACCAAGGCGCCTGCCCCACTGTGGGTACTCACCTGTTCCAGCCTTGTGAAGGAACTGGTTTTGTTTTTGTTTTTTTTGTTTTTGTTTTTGTTTTGTTTTTTGTTTTTTAACACTTCCCGTGCTGTGCCCATTTATAAGAGGAAATAAAATTAAGCTGAAATGTTGTGCTGTGTCCAGAGTATAATATGGTTATTTGGGGAGGGCAGCCCGTGGCTGCATCCTGGGCCCCAGCCATCTTCCCCCATCAAAGAAATTGAGAACCAAGCAGGGAAAATTGACTAACAGCCCCTCGTGGGAACCATTATGGTCAAAGCTGCTGTTGGTTGAGAGTGTCCAGGAAACCACGGAGCCGCTGCGGTGAGGCTGGGGTGGGGGCTGTGGTTGGGAGGGGCCAAGCAGTGGTGAGAGGGGCCTGTGGTTCACCCCCAGGGGAAGAACTCTGGCTTTAGGCCACAGAGAAAATTTTGGGACCACAGGATACCAGGATCAGAGCAGCCGAGATGAGACAAGATGGCTTTGAAGTCTGAAGTCTGTTTTCAGATCCAGGTGTTGACATTTCCTAGCGCTGACTCTGGACAAGCCACTTGACCTCTGTGAGTCTTAGTTTCCCCATCTGTCAAATGGGGTCAGAATAATACCCCCTGCGTGGAGTGCTGTGAGGACCGCATGAGCTAGAATGCTCTGCGCGGCACCTGCCACAGTCAGCACGTAGCTCACGGGCGCTCTGATGATGGTGTTGGAACAGAATAGAACCTCTGGATGGGAGAATGTGACCCAGAATCACAGGTCAACTCCTGACATCTGGGGTTATAGAGCTGGGCAGGCCTCAGAGCCCGCCTTGGCACCCTCCTTGGTGTCGAAATCTCTTTTCCAGCCCCTACTTGGCATAACTCCTGTCCCAGCCAGCTGGGTGTGTCCTGAGGGCCAGTGGGCCACCCTGCCTATTTTGAAGTACTTCCTAATTTCAGCTGAAATCTCTCTCTCCAGTGTTGCCCGTCTCCAGCGCTCGTACGCTCTGGGGGTGCACGGGATTGTGCTGCCCCTTGCAATGGGACAGCCCCCAGATATGGGTGTAACAGTCGCAAAATTCCCTCCTTCGAGGGAAAGCTCTACATGTCCTACAAATATGTCTTCTAGAAATGTCTTCCTCTTGGCCAGGCATGGTGACTCAAACTTGTAATCCCAGCACTTTCGGTGGCCGAGGCGGGTGGATCATTTGAGGTCAGGAGTTCAAGACCAGCCTGGTCAACATGGTGAAACCTCATCTCTACCAAAAATACAAAAATTAGCTGGGCTTGGTGGCGGGTGCCTGTAATCCCAGCTACTTGGGAGACTGAGGCAGGAGAATCACTTGAACCCAGGATTCAGAGGTTGCAGTGAGCCCAGATTTCATCACTGCACTCCAGCCTGGGTGACAGAGTGAGAGACCCTGTCTCAAAAAAAAAAAAAAAAAAAAAAAAAAGAATTTTCTTCTTCGTAATATGTGATAGCCAGGGTGCTGTTGGCCCTGGGAGTGGTTGGAGCCTGAGGCCTATGGCTCTGGTACACGGTCCTACCCATCCCTCCCTCCTTCCAATAAAGTTTCTGTGCCTGGCTCTGTGCTTGGAACTGGGAGCTGAGGGGTCCCCTTGACAGCCCCGGCCTCTCTCCCTAGAGCATGTACAGTCTATCCGGGAGATGGCTAATAACCAGAGTCTTGTGACGGTGATGACACTGGTCTGTGGTGGGGGAGGGTCATTCTTCCTCAACGGCCACCTCCAAGCCCCCGCAAGATTGCCCCTCACTGCGAGGCAGTTCAGGGACAGAGCTTTGGTCCCCAGGGCCTCACTGTGGGACCTCAGACAGTTTGACACCTTGGAGCCTCAGTCTGCACAGCTATAAAATGGGGTGAAGGGGCCAGACCTGCCGCTGGGAGGTCCTCACAAGAGTGAGTCAGTTAGACACCTGCTATGATGTGCGGGGTTGGTTTACCAAGATTCAAAGCCAAGCATGCGTGGCTGTTCATGCAGGGAGCTTCAGAAGGCAATGCCCCATCTTCTGAGTGCTGTCAGCCTGCTGTCTCCCTCCTACTCTTCTCCCCTCCTCTCTTGTGTTCTAGTGATGTGATTTGATTTTCAGCTTGGAGGAGTAGAAAGAGCATGGCCTTGAAGTCAAGCAGACTCATTGCTCTACCTCTCTGATCCTCGATTTCCTTGAAGGCAAATGAGAACAATAAGGTTGGTATATGGAGGCATGAAGCATGGCATATATGCCCATCTGCAGCTGGATTTGTATTCTTCTCTTTGCAGCACCTACCTTTTACCAGGCAAACCTTTATTCAAATCCTTTCTCTGTCAGTGACTAGCTATGTGACCTTGGGTGAGCAATTCAAACTCAGTGCTCAGTTTCCTCACCTGTAAAACGGGGACAATACTAGTACTCGCCTCATATGCATAGTGCTTAGAACTATGGCAGGCACAGAGCAGGTGCTGTACAAATGTGGGCAATTATTACTGCTGTTGTTGCTATCATTGTTACTGTTATTTGCAGGGCCCAGCACACTGTCTATTGATTAAGTGACACTGAGCTTGGGTAGAAATCAAACTATCAGAGTCAGCTCTAGGAGGAACTACGCCTTAGGCTTGTTAGAGCCAAGGGCAGAGCCTGGAAACCATGTATTTGGGCACAGATAGGCTGGGCACTGCTGGAAGTTGGAGCATTTCCCTCTGGGCCCCGTCACCCAAGATATGAGCAACAGAATCAAGAGGGAAGGAGGAAGAAGAGCTGATTGTTTCCTGCAGCCCAAGAGGTCACAGCCACCCGGCTCAAGCTGCCCTGAGAACAGAGTGTGCTCAGCTTCCAGGGCTGCCCACCCTGCCTCTGCCGGCCTGAGGGTGGGCTCAGGACAGACGAGGATCTAGGTTTATCACCGCTAGATAACCAGTAGGGATGAGAGAGGCAGACGGCGAAAGGAATGGAGTGAGGCACTTTGCCAGGTATGGGGCATCTTGTTAGGTCATTGAAGCCCCAGGTCTGGCCTCCTGGCCTGTTTTTGCAACTGCAGCAACTGAGGCTCAAATAGCAGAATCCCAAAGCCCTAGAGCAATGGGAAGGTGCGGTAGGATTCTGCTGCCTGCCTGCCATGAGCTACCTGTGAGGGTGGGCAGGTTACTACGCTTCTCTGAACCTCAATTATATCATCAGAACAACAGGAGCACTAGGGTGTTATTGAAAGGCTCTAATGAAGCACTAACACATGACATTTGTGGGGTGCCTTCCAATTATTGTCCTTCATTCATAGACATGATCTTATTTAATTCTTGGAGACAATTATTACCCCATTTTATCATAAACAATGTGTTTACGATGAACACATTGGCCCTATCAGCAAAATCCACACCGTGGGACACTCTGTAGGAAAAACAATCCAGTTTTTTTCAACAAATAAATTATAAGGAAGACAGAAAAAGAGAGAGAGATGGAGAATTTATAGAAAAGCTTAAATGACATGTTAGTTAACCATTGTGGGAACCTGATTCAGATCCTGATTCAAATAAACTGTATTTTCTAAAATGTCCCAATTATGAGGCAAGTGGAAATTGAACACTGAGTGAATGAGTAAAAACATATATGTGTATATATATGTATTTATATTTATATTTATATTTATATTTATATTTTCTCTCTTTCTTTGAGACAGGGTCTCACTCTGTTGCCCAGGCTGGAGTGCAGTGGTCTGATCATGGCTCACGGCAGCCTCGAGCTCCCCGGGCTCAGGTGATCGTCCCACCTCAGTCTCCCAAATAGCTGGAACTATTCGGATGTGCTCGTCACCACATCTGACTAATTTTTGTATTTTTGTAGAGACAAAGTTTTGCCATGTTGTCCAGGCTCGTCTCAAACTCCTGGGCTCAAGTGACCGAGTGAATATTTGTTACTAAGGATTCATTGTCAATGCTCTTAGATATGATAAGGGCCCTGTAGTTATTTATTTATTTTTTTTAATGAGTCCTTACCTTTTAGAGATACAGACTGAAATATTTGTAGATGAAGTGACAGGGCATCTGGAATTGACTTCAAAATAATATGGGGAGGAGTGGGTGAAGGAACAGAGGAAATAAGATGGGTCTTGAGTTGATCATTGTAGACACTGAGTGATGGGCACGCAGGGGCTTCGTTATATTATTCTATCTACTCTAAGTTTACATTTTAAATTATCCATAATAAAGTGCTTTAAAAGAAAAGAAAGCAGCTGGGGGCGATGGCCCACGCCTGTAATTCCAGCACTTTGGGAGGCCGAGGCGGGCGGATCACGAGGTCAGGAGATGGAGACCATCCTGGTTAATACGGTGTTTAAAATACGGCCTTCTCTACTAAAAATACAAAAAATTAGCTGGGCGTGGTGGCGGGCACCTGTAGTCCCAGCTACTTGGGAGGCTGAGGCAGGAGAATGGCATGAACCTGGGAGGTGGAGCTTGCAGTGAGCCGAGATCAGGCCACTGCACTTCAGCCTGGGAGACAGAACGAGACTCCGTTTCAAAAAAAAAAAAAAAAAGAAAAAGAAAAAAAAGAAAGCAATTCCCAGACGGGCACAGGGAACTGCCTAAGGTTGCACCCCCAGGAAACGCAGAGCTGGCTCCCCTGCTGCAAGTCTAGGGCGCTGGCCGTTCGCCCAGGGCATTGAACTCCTGCAATGCCCTATCTTCCTCGGCTCTACATCATCCACTTCCAGGTGGTCAGTGCCTTCATGGACCCTGTTCCCTCCCCTTCTATGAAAACTGACTCTCATGAATGGCTCTGTTGAAATAATTTGCATGAAATGGTCATGACTGACGTGGCTTCAGCTATTTCCCTCCTCCAGAGGTGTTTGTCCATTGCCAGAGAAAGTAGCAAAAGCAGCTCTTCCCAATGAGCCACGTGTTTCAGCTCATGAAGCACTGTCCAGGAAGTCCTTGGCCTTGCTTGCCGTTCACATCAGTCCTGGGAGATGAGCTGGCTGGGGATTACTCCTCCCACCTTGGAGGACATTAGATTTGTTCATCACCATCCCCTACCCTCACTGCCCGCCTCTGCCCATTTTCAAGGCTCTGGCCAAGCCTAGACCCTTATCTTGCCTTGCTGGAAATATTGAAGTAGTCTTACCAGCATACTGTAAGGAAAGGGCATGGGTTTGGGGGCATACAGG